AGCAATGTGTAGAACATCATATATTTTCAATCAAAAGACTGTTGTTCATCAATGGATATTGTTTAAATCAAACTCAATAATGAGTAAACATAATCTTGATATTTCTCATTTGCTAGTATAACATTGAACAATTTTAAATATTTTTACTCTAAAAGTAATTTTTTTTAAAATAATTAGAAATAAGAAAAATGCAACTTAGTATGCTTCTAAAATGTTATATAAATATACGTTATTTTGAAAAATGAACATATGGATAAATGCATGAATTATTTTTCAAAAAGTGAATGCATAAATAATTTTTTTTAGTATATGCGAATGATGGAATCATTTTTTTGTTTTACAAGTGAATGCATGAATCATTTTTTTTTTGTATATGCGAATGCATGAATCATTTTTAAATGTGAATGCATTTTTTTGTATATGCGAATGTCTGGATCATTTTTTTATGCGAATTCATGAATAATTTTTTTTGTATATGTGAATGCATGAATCATTTTTTTATATGTGAATGCATTAATTATTTTTTTTTATATACGAATGCATGAATCATTTTTATATGTGAATGAATGAATATATTTTTCTGTATATACGAATTCATGAATATTTTATTTTTGTATGAATCAATTCTTTTTGTATATGCGAATGGATAAATATATTTTTTTGTATACACGAATTCATAAATGTTTTATTTTTGTATGAATCAATTTGTTTGTATATGCGAATGCATGAATCATTTTTTTGGTACAAAACGTGTAGGATGAATAATTATGAATGATTTTAAACAAATGAAGGAACAAGATAAATTTTATAAAGAAAATATATTTTATTTTTATTTATTTTAATTTTTTTTACATTTCTATGGTAAAAATTCTAATTTTTGGAGTTCACTATATCCTTTTGTTGGAACATAATTTCATGGATAGATCTAGATTCTTATAGTCTTGTATGGCTCCCAAATTGTCCCTATTAAATAATAAGGACCTAGCTCATGACTTAGTCATAAGTAGAGACGTGCCCTCTCAATATAAGTAAGTCAACGTACTAGTAACAATTTGAGTGGTAGCTCAACAACTACCAAGTGAGCATAAAGCCCCTCAATAGTAGTTGTTAAGGCACTTTCTACTCCTAGGCTCGCATAGGCTTGAGTATAAAGCCCAAATGTGTGTGAGGTAAGTGTTAGTGATGTGTGTGCATAAAGTATATAAGTTTTTATCCTATTAACTACCCATCTAACACAGACTAGCAAATACCGAAAAATGTACAAAAGTCATCTACCCTAAGATTCACAATATAGCAAGAGAAATAATAGTAACAAGATATTTATAAAAATAAACTGAACAATAAATAAAATAAAAAGAATACACAAACAAAATGAGTAAAATAAAAAAAGATTAAAACTTTTGCACACTTAATTAGATTAGGTTTGACTCTCAAAAATGTCCCCAGTGGAGTTGCCATCGGTCGCAACTGGAGTCACGATGGGATGACGATAACAAGGAGTCGTCACCAAAGTTTATTAAAGAAAACATTGCAAAAAACTTTTAATTAAAATAAAATCTTCGAAACCAAATTTGGGCTCAGGAGTCGTTTACGTGTAAGGAAGGTATTAGCACCTTACACGTCTATTGGTTAAAATAGTTACCTTCTAATTAATTGTGCAAAATTTTATTTTAACTTTGAAAACATTTTTTTTACTCTAAAAGAAACTAATTAATATTTTTTTCACTATTTTCAAATTTGTTATTATTATTATTTTTAGATTTATTTCTAATTTTTACAAATTTTTTGAGATTTTAATTTTATTTTTTAAAATGAGGAAATACAATAAAAATTATTTGAATTAAAGGAATGAGTTATTTGTAAAAATATTATTCTTTTTTTCCATTTTTTGTATTAAAGAAATATATAGTAAAAAAATTTATCTTAACACTTTATTTTTTTATTTTTTATTTTTTATTTTCTATTTTTTAAAATAAAATAAAAATTATTTTTTAATTTGTATAAAAAAAATGTGCTAGAAATTAATCTTAGTTTAAAATAATTTTAAAAATATTTTGAACCTGAAAAAATATTTTAAAAAAAATTGGACTTGACAGGTCAGGTTCTCGCTCCTACGTATCCTCCGTGTGTAACGTAGGAATCAAAGCTACACGTAGTTCTTTTTTAAGAATTATGTTTTGAATAAGTTTCAAAGATTTTCTTTCTTTTTTTTTTTGTGAAAAGAACTTGATTTTTCTTTATTATTATCATTTTTAAGTAAATCCACTCCTGCACAGGGTTCAAGTTAGCACACGACTACTCAATAAACCCTTATGATCTAAGCAGCGTTGAAGGTGGATCCTCCACTCTATCAAAATTACTTGGCTGTTGCGTGGATTCAAATGACTCATTTTTTTATAATAATGCAAAATTGATATACCTTTTAATATGAGATTTTTGCACACAAAAAAAAGAAACAAACGAGGGACATATAGAACAAATAAACAAATATAGGAGCAAACAAAAATGATGAGTAAATAACTCTTATTCAATTTAGGAAATAAGTTTTTCTTTAGGTTAGGATATGCAAAGAAATTAGGAGTTTTAGAATTTATGAAAAGAAATAATTTTTAAGATTTGGAAAAATTAAATTTTTATAATTTGCAAAATTGTTAGAGTTGAAAAAAGTAGTTTGTTTTAGACCTTGCAATAAAATTGAATGATTTTGGGTTAGAAAAACAAATATTATTTTTAGGGTTTGCAAAAAAAGAATAATTTAGAGTTAGAAAAAAATAGTTTGTTTTTAGGGTTTGCAAAAAAAAGTAATACTTGAAGTTAGAAAAAAAAAAAATTTTATGGATTTGAATTTTATTTTTAGGGTTTGACTAAGGGATTTTAGGGTTAAAAGAACATTAGGGTTTTTCGGTTTATAAAAAAAAGAGGGTTTATTAAAAAAAGGTTGTTGGAGAAAAATTAGATTCTTTAGGATTTTGCAAAAAGAATAATTTTTAGGGTAGAAAAAAAGTTTTTTTTTAATAAAATGAACAAATATTTCATGTTAAAAAAAATTTGGGATTTGCAGAAAGAAAAATTTTAGAGGTAAAAGGAAAATTAAAAATTTTGTAGGTTTATAAGAAAAGAAAAAGTTTTTAGGTTAGATAAACTAGGATTTGTAAGAGGAAAAACTTGTAATACAGACAAAAAAACAAGCACATGAAGATATGATGAGTAAAAGAAAAAAGGAACAACAAAAGAAAAAGGAAATAATAGTTCTTATCGAATGATAAAGAGAAGTAGATTATATTTTTGTTGACTCATTTGTTATGACTCAGAGTTTTTGAGTCGACTTTTCCTTCAACCTTCTAGATATGTTCTTTCCAATTGATCTCTAGGACTATGCTTTAACTCTCAATTGATTTCTTTTTAACTCTTTCCTTCTTCTAGATATGTTTTTTTCAATTGATTTCTTTTTAACTCTTTCCTTCTTCTAGATATGTTCTTTTCAATTGATCTTTAGGACTATGTTTTAACTCTCAATTGATTTCTTTTTAACTCTTTCCTTTTTCTCTCTGTTTTTCGAGCTCTCCCTTTTGAATCTTCTCTTCTCTCTGTGCTCTCAAAGTATCTCTGTAAAGAAAATATAAGGTGTCTACCTCAAAGTCTCCTCCTCTGAAGACCTAATCTTTCTATTTATAGGCATTTTCTAAAACTCTATATCCTAATGAAGGCTCTCTTATTTTCTGAGGACCAGTAATCAGTTTTTTTTTCTTTTTTATTCATTTTCCTAAAAATTTATTAACTATTTTGACCATTTCTAAATCTAATTTTATATTTAAAAATTAAAAATTTTGAATTTAAATTTTAAATTAATTTTTTTATCTATTTTCTTAACCTTTTAAAAAAGAAATTATTATATTTAATTTTTTATTTTAAAATTTATTTTTGACAAGGACCCTGATAAAATTAGGTATTTACAATGTGATTTCATTTATATATTCTGTTAATATTTATTCATAATTTCTTCTTTCATATCTCATTAATTATATTTTATTATTGATGTTTGTTAGAGAATTCGATCTATTACTTTGGTAAATTTTTAACATAAACATATATTGCAAAATATTTTACGTAAAACCTTTTTCATATATAAATTATAACTTATTTTAGATTCATCATTTCTCAATTTATTTATTTTTGTAAAATGACAAGAATGTAAAATTTATAATATATGTTATAGATTATCGATTTGTTTAATTTTTATGGGTTTGGTACTAGCTTTAAAAAAGGAAAATATCCAAAAGAAAAAAAAAGGGAAAATATCCATTGTAAAATATAATAAAAATGGTTATTATAATTGGTGTGTGTAAAGATTTGTTCAAGTGTACACACATAAGAAACGAAACCCAACGTCACTTTTTTTTCTGATCTAGACAATCATTCAAAGTATGTATCAAGAAAACAATTAGCACACATTTCTTAAATAAAGTGAAGCGTTTACTAAAAGAACTTTTGGAGAGAAAAGGAATGTGAAAGGATTCTTACTCAAAATAAAAGCAGATTCAATAAATTTATCAACAAGAAAACACAGACTAATAAACAAAAAGCATTAACTCTTATTATAATTAATAAATTTCAATTATAAAATTTTATAATGACTATCACTATTTGTATAAATAGTTGACAAAAATACACTTAAAATATAATTTAATTATAATGCATTATTTGTGGAAGTATTTGTATACAATCAAGTAATAAAAATATTATTATAAATGACTTTTAAAGAATCAAAAATTATAATTCGACATTAATGTTAAAAAAAAACTTTACACTAATCAATACATTTTAATTAAATTCATTAAAAAACATTTTTATATTTTTCTCAAATAATTTTGTATGGTTGTCTACGAAAGTGTTAGTATTTTGCCTATTATAGTATTATAATCAATCTAATATTTTAGTTCGATAAAAAACATTTTATAGAAAACTAACTTTAGTCATATTTATAAAAAACTAATAATCTAGTTTAAACAAAATTGTAAATTGACAAATATGAATTAATAGCAATAATGTTATCATGCCAACCAGAAATAGCCCAAGTGACAACATCGACCAGCTTGGGTTCGATTTAAATTGAATGGAGCAATTTTTCTTTTCCATAAACTTTTGTTAATAATAATAACAGCAATGAATAATATTAATAATAATAACATCATAAAAGCGTTGGTTGGAAATTAATTTACAAAATCTACAAACGGATCGTCCAACAGAGGCATAGAGATTACCCTGCGAGTTCACTTATTGGAGGCCGATCCATGATATCAGAAGCAGCCTTTGCATTGCGCTGCAACAACGGATCAATATCTGGCAATTTTGGAACCTGAACTAAAAGATCAATGGTCCGTCGAAGGAGGCGAGCTAAATCACCGTCATCCATCGCACAATCCATCATTATTTCTCTCCATGTCAACCCGGAAGCCCAGGCCTCAACCATACCACAAAACTGGGTATCCAAACAGCATGAGATTGTCACCCCATGTTTATCCTGAATTGCCAACAGGGCACTTCTTTGCTCATCCAATAACCTTATGAAATTAACCACAGTTGCAGAAGGTTCATAAATGTAACTGTTATTCTTCCAGGGTCGGACTTTTATACCCTCCGACACCAAACTTGCACACACTGCAGCAAGTTGAGCAGGTTTTAATTCTAGTAAAATTTTATTGCGAAGAACCATCGCAAGCCATAGCTCATTTTCTCCTCGAATCGCAGCCGCGGTTTCACCAAGCGGAAATATGACATGCGAATTAATATCTAAAGCTCTGGTTTCATGTATCACATTGCTAACCTGCATAAACTCCTTCCAACCCGAGGGTTCAATTTGTTCTATCCGATTAATCAAACGTTCAGACCTATTCTTCAGACGCTTGATTTTCTCCTCAGTAAACTTGACTGCGTCTATGATTTTATTATATTCTTTATAGCCTTCAGTACGAGCTATCCTTTTCTTCAGGCGTGCAACTTTATTTCTTTGTTCCTTGTAACGTTCAATGGCATCTTTATAGGGTTGAGACTTTAGCAGTAGCTCATCATTTTCTAACAAGCTACTTAAAACAGGAACATTCAAGCTCCAAGACCATGTCTCCAGAGATCCGTCCGTGAACCATAAACCACCATGTTCAGAGTGAGCAAGCTTATCCCACTTCATGTCCTCCTTGTCAAGGAGTTCACTCATAATTTCTCGAGGTCGAGCATCCCCTTGAGCCAATGGAACATTAGGAAAACCTGTCCCATATACTGTTTTGATCCACTTTTCTGTAAATAGATACCAAGAGTTATCTGAACCAAGAGCCACATGATAGGATGGTTCAAGATCTTCTTTCAACTCAGAATCAGTAGCACTAGGCTCTGCATTTGCCAAATTTAATGCAAAAGAATCGACAGAAGTAATCATATTTTTGAGTTTTGAAGCATTAAGGGAGTCAACTTTCCCCAAAAACACGGCAGGAATTGGATGTTGAACTCCTTCAGAATCCCTATACTGCAAGCACAAATATGGTAGATGTCCACTTTCGGGCTCCTCCAACAAAGGTTTCAGGGCAGATATTCTCTTTGCTTCCATTTGTTTCCGCAATTCAGAACGAACCCGTTTTTCTGCCCTTAAATCTTCCTGTAACTCTGCAATTTCCTTGTATTGTCGCTGTGACAAAGCCTTCCTGCTTTTTCTATCTATGGCTTCATCACTGATTTCTAACATCAGTAACTCAATTTCTTTCTCAATTTTATTCAGTTCCTCTTTAGCAGCCAGCATTACATTACTACTAACATAATTTCCAAAACTCTGCTCAACTAATTTCCTAGCTTCTTCCAATGTTCTCCCTGTGGAAGGTCTCGTATCATCTGATTCATTTGACCTATGAATGGCTTTCACACCAGCAAGAAGATTCAAAACCATTCCATATGAGGCGGTAAACTGTGAGACTAGAGGCTCAAGTCCAGCAAACAGCACCTTGCAGCACTCTTCAGCACCTTCATTAGGAGTTTGGATGAGGACTACATGACCACTTTCATCAATGCCTCTGCGTCCAGCACGCCCAGCCATCTGAAGCAGTTCATTTGAGCTTAATGAGATACGTCCGGTATCACCTCTTTTGCTGAGGGATGAAATAACAGCTGTTCTAGCAGGCATATTGATTCCAGCAGCTAGGGTTTCTGTAGCAAAAACTACCTTGACAAGTCCTCTTTGAAACAACTCTTCTATGAATGCCTTCCACAAAGGTAGACATCCAGCATGATGTGCAGCAACCCCTTGCAAAAGTCCTCTCACAGCTGTTTCTCTGACAGCATCAGGATACTGCATGCGGAACCTCTTCAAGGCTAGTTCAACCTCACTTGTTTCACACTCATCTAGAAGTTTGCAATTTTCAACATATTGCACAGCCGCATCACAACCCTTCCTGCTAAAAATAAACCAAATAGCTGGCAGCATATCCCTATACTGAAGTTGCAATAATGTATCAATTATTTGAGGAACCTGAAAAAGATTAAGATTATACTCCGTATAAAAATGTATGCTCACTATTATAAATACAAGATCTGAGTCTTTAAAACATAAGTCTGCTTACAGCCCAAGTGGGTATCACCACCCAAACTGCATATTCAATATTCATGAGTGATTATTGGATATATAAAATGTAGCAAAATCTCCCCATTTCAAAACTAAGATTTTAAGCTGTGAAAACGACAGGCAACAGATGGCCAGTATGATCATCATAAAGGAAAAAGTATAAAGAGAATTGATTTAGAGGCCATACTTGTGAACGACGGATTGCATTTATGTTATTCTTTGAGAGAGAACGTTGTTCAAACATGCTATCGTCACTATCATAGCTTGTGTAAGTTCCTCGTCTACGGGAATTCCTTTTTTTAGACCAATCATCCTTGTAAGGTTTAGCCCCTGCAGCTTGAAGTTGTAAATAATTGAGAGACAGCTTCCTGTTTTAAATAAAAGAAGAAACTAAGCTTCCATTTTTTTTATTCAGTAATAAAATGATGATAATATTCAGTACTTACTGGCTTAAATTCGTTAAATAATAAATAATACTAGTAGTTTATTGCTATGCATATTATGTCAGAAAACAATACTGTCACATTTTCTTTTAGAAAAAAAAAAAAGACTTGATACTTGTATATTTTTTATTGACCTATTCATCAATTCCATAGAAATTCTAGCAGTCATCATTATGTTGGTATTTTCATATTGATCAAAGAAAATACATAAATGACTGTCACAACAACATGATCATCACCACCAGCACCAATTTTGCAAACACAGCACTTGCTCTAGTCATCACCACCACAAACATTGATATATTGTTGTCATAACAATTAAATAAGAACAACATTGATGCTAAAATCATCAATACCACCGCTACACAACACTGTTTGATCAATCACTAGTTAACAACACAAGCAATAACCTAGATTGGACCTACTGGTAGCCATTTATGAAAATAAGATCATGGATATCACCCGTTGTCCTATTAATAGACCAGAATCCTAATAATTGATTTTGCCTGCAATTATTATTGAGGCACACTATGAACCACAACCCTGCATTTTAGAGCAGCCAAATTTATGCTAATCCAAGCCTCTCACCATTCTTCATTGCTGCAAGTACTAACAATGGCAACCATCAACCCCACCTATTGACTACTAGTATCATCACTGTGATCCACTAAATGCTTGGATTACAAAGAATAACCACCCATTCTGAACAGCAACCTTTCACATATCATATGATATGATCAGCACCCACAATTCAATTGTCTAAATTTCAGTGTTAAATATTTAGTTTTATCACATAACCAGATATCCTATGCCCTTCCCACACATTGGGAGAGTAGTAAGTACGTGACTAAAAACAATATAAACAATTAAATAAAAAATAAAAGCAACAGAAAATCATCAAGTAAGGTTGCCGTCAAATTAGTGCTCATCAATAGCAAAATGTTAAACTATTTGATGCTATGCTAATAACAACCAATAAAAAACACCACCAAGTTCACACCAAAAAGACAGAAAGTGAGTGTTTGTTGGGGGGTAGGAGGGAGGATATGACTGTTTCAGACACCACCTTCAAACAAGTTTGACTGTTAGGCTAATAGGAATTCCAATTATCATTAAATTAACATGGACAAATCAGACAGCTCTTTACCAATAAATAAGGCTTTCACTGATATAGAACATATGTAATAATTAACTCAACTGAAATGCAATAAGAATCGCAGACGTAGATAGCACCTGTTCATGTGCGTTCCTTTCTCATTGAGAAGTGGTAATAAGGAATTCTTCATAGAGAAATGCCAAGTCAATGGAACTGGGCGTTTTGATGATGTTACCAATTCTGTTTCACCATGAATCTGAAAGCCAAAAACAATTTTGCAGAGATTACAAAGAGAATTCAGCCCAGGTAGAGGACAAATATTTAGTTTGTTATCTGAATTCTTTCACTAGAAATAATTCCATCAGTCAGTGAAGATATAAAGATACTGAACCCAGTGCTTGTGGTCCACTTTCATCACATAAAATGAAACCAGAATCATAAAAAATAATTTTCTGGAAGGTATTTTTACATAAAAATTATGTAACTTAATTGTCTAGACTCAAGTTCTTTCTCTGCAATTATAGTATGCAGAAAATTCCAATAAATGAAAGTTGAATACCAAGCATTACCTAAATTATTCACGATCCCTGAAAAGCGGATAGAATATTAGCAATTTCAATCATCCATATTCCAAACAATGTTTTATATCCCAAACTGTAAAAGTCCATCAACATGCTCAAGTAAATAAAATTACTACAGAGAATATGAAGTTCGGGAAATTTTCAAATTAATTATCTATGATTCAATATTTTTATTAGGATTGTTAAAATCTTTCATGTCTTAACAGGATAAAAAAATCCTCAAAGGTGACATAATCTTTTGTATGGCAATTGATGTTATGTGCTTGATACTTAACAAACTTAAGTGAGTTTTAAATATGCACTTGAAGCTTGGCATTTCAAATATATAATGGACATCCAATGTCTAATTGCTTCAGCAAATTAACAGTTCCTTCACCTTTATTGTGGGATATGGATATTTTTCAGCCACATTGTAGGTTTCAGCTCATATGGATACGGTTTTTTAGGGGAAGTTGGTTTGTCTATTATGCAGTGTAATTGGTTTCTCTTTTGACATGTTGCCTGCCTTACTTTTATATTTGCTTTTCTTTTTCAGGAGTACTATAAATTCCACGGAACAGGACAATGCTGGTTCATTTTACAGAAGTAGAAAGCAAGTAGAAGCAAAATGCATTCTGCAACTGTTGTAGACATCACCCTCATAATCTGAATACCTGACCAATCCAACCAGCCAGCTCATCCGGATTTGCAACAGTTGCTGACAGACAAATAAGTTGAACTTCTTTGGGGCAATAAATAACCTGCAGAAGTTATCCCCGTGTGCATGAGCATGACAAATAAGAGAAGAGAAGTGGAGTACGTAAAGAAACATGCAAAAATAATAAATCATGCTTACGATCTCCTCCCAGACTGTACCACGGGATATGTCACTAAGGTAATGAACTTCATCCAAAACAATCACATCAACATCTACAAGTCCACTTCCAGATGAAACATTTCCAACACTGCATGACAACATATATGGCAATTATTTCTAAGATAATAATCACTGAAACTGAATACTAATTTCTCCTAGTTCAAGACAACTTATACGTCAATTATTTCTAACACCATGGGAACCTTGACCTTCTCAACATCTTGGTTCTTGCCCACTGGACTCAATCTACAGCTATATAGAATTCGAAACACAATACCTACACAGTACAAAACCATAATCCACATTTTTAACAGCACAATAGCAAAGACTCAGAAGTATCAAATAGCTGCTTTGTGAAAATAGAATCTCTAGTTTTAGACACTGAAATCCAATTTTATAATGCAGTATACCTCTGATACAACATGTTGCGTAATATCTCCGTGGTCATAATCAAAACCTGAGCATCCTTGTTGACGGCAGAATCACCGGTGAGAAGGCCAACGTTACTGTCGCCAAAAGTCTCCCTGAAAATCCATTTCGCCATGACAGTAAGAGTAACTATCTCAGACACACACACACACACACCCGAGAACACATACACACACGCGCGCAAACAAAAACGCAAAAGCAAAACAAATCAAATCTAGATTCTAAGCGTTGCACACCGGAATTCGCGGAACTTCTGATTGGACAACGCCTTGAGTGGAGTCGTGTAGAATATTCGCCGTCCCCTAGCCACCGTGGCCACCGCGGCAGCTTCCGCAATCAACGTCTTTCCGCTGCTCGTCGGAGCGGAAACCACCGCCGACGAACCTCTCAGAAAAGCCTGTATCGCTTGCCGCTGTAACAAAATCAACCGCACAAGCTCAATCCGAGTAAGATTCTCCAAACAAATTTAACATGAATAAAATAAAATAAAGAGTGAACCTGAAACTTGTCTATGCGGAAATCGTAAACAGAGGCAAGCTCGTCGACGTCGATGATTTCAGCGCCGAACTCCCTAACTTCGTTGCAGAGCTTCTCTACTCTCTGCCACTTGAATCCGTCGTATCGAGCCAACGCATCGGCCTCGAGCGTCTCGCCTTCGTCGGAAATCTCGCCGGATACGTCGTCGTATTCATCGGCAGCAACGTCTTCTTCTTCTTCATCATCATCTTCTTCGTCTTCGTCGTCGTATTCTTCTTCGTCTTCCTCGGCATCGGAGAAGGAGCGGAGGGTAGAGGTTGGGGACTTGAAGGAGAATGAGGCTCGGAATTTGAGGGAAAGAGGAAGGGATGGAAACCGAACGAGAGAGAATGGGAGAGAGGTAGAAGTGGCAGCAAGAAATGTGAAAGAAGGGTAGCGTGGTTGGAGTGAGAGGATAAGTTGGGTGTTGGTGGTCGTGGCCATGGCCATGGCGGGAGAGGACAGATTTTGCTTTCGTTGCGATTTTTATTTTCGCAATATCTCTAAAGCTGAAATCGGATTAGGCCCAATTAATTGATACTTTTGGGCCTGGCCTACACCGCTCCTCTTTTTCTCAGCCCATTTTTTCAAACGATATCAACTTTTTTTTGTTACTTTTGAAATTTAAATTTTAAAAGTGCATTTAGGGTGTACTTTGATAAAATAATTAATTAATTTGAAATTTATCATAAAATTTATTCGCATAAATTAAAAAATTTATTTGATAAATTATATATTAAAAATTAATTAAAATAAATTAAAAAACTTATAAAAGTTATAAGTTACTTTCACAAACACTTCATAAGCTCTTTCAAATGTACTTAAATATATTTTAAATTTTATTTTTTATATTACTTTATATAATTATTTTTTCATTAACTTGCAAAATAAGTGAGTTTTAAAAATAATTTTCAGAAATATTTAAATTACTTTAAAAAATTTAAAGTATTAAGTAATTTAATTATGAATACAAGTTATCTAAATCTAATTATGCTATGTTAATATCACATTATTCAATGATTAACTTGATAATTTTTTTTTATAAAAGTTATTAAATAAAGTAGCTCTTGTCAGAATTGCTTATAGACTAACTTGATCTCCACCATTATTGTATATTATCTCTTAATTTTTTAATTATTATTTCAAAATTAATTCAATCTAAATAAGATAAATAGTCAAATTTTAATTTAATTTTAAAAGTAAATCGCTTCAAAAATTAAATATTTGAAAAAGAATTTAATGCATTCCAAATTTAAAATTTTGAAAATTTACTGAATATATTCCCAAGCATAACATGACACCACCCTCAAATTCGCGAACATTATCTTATAGACCACACACGGAAATAAAGCAAAAGAACAAATTCATCTCTGCTAATCATAGACGAAGTTGAACCCTATCACCAAATCCCAATTGCAAGTGCAGCATCTAAACAAACTTCATGATAGTTTTGTCAGCCAGCTTTTCAAGCTTCTGTTGTATTATCATAAAGTACAAGAAATAAAATAAAAATCCCAATTTGTTTGCCCCTTGCGTCGCATGCTCCATACTTCAACCATAATCTTAAAGCATCTCAACCCAACCATGAGACACACCACAACTTGTGGCAACATGTGACAAACCGACAATGCAAGTTCTGAGATGATGGTAGAGGTTGGGAGCTTGTGGCAAAGTCACACAGGTGAAACTAGTAAAGGATTGCATGGAAAAGCAATAGTTGTTTGAGTAAAGTTAAAATTTTGAAAATATTTTTCTAATTTGTAATTTAACCCATTCATTTTCGAAGATACCTTATCAATGATTAGAATGAAATGGTCCACCGCCGGCGGAGAAAATATGCTTTGATCCACCCTCCTACTGCTAACTATTGATTATTAGCTTCTCATGTCTTTTATTATCATTTTAGATTGTGTCCAACATACACCAGAGCGCAAGGCATTCCATGAGAAAATTCGACTACAAAAAACGAAAGGAAAAAGAAAAGGGGGGTAGAGGCTGATTCTCTCATGTAGCACTTCGTAATTGAATCGGGAGGCTAATTGCAGCCACCGAATGTTCCATAAACAATTACCTCAACAATGTAGCAGCTAAAGTAAAAGGGAAAAGAATAAAAATAAAAACTAGATAACAAAAATATGGATGAATGAAATAAAAATGTCCTCTAGTTACATCACAAATTACCTCTATTTACATTATTGTCAGCCAACATTAGCTAGCCATCAAATTACAAGTATACTACAATATCCTCTTCACGCCGCGCCACCCGTTCTGTAAGCTTTATTAGGTTGCTCATAGAAAATGCGCAAAAATGATTTTAGAAAAACATCCTTTGATCAACTTGTAGGACAGGATGTCGTTTGCATCCGGCGCCTCTGCCAATGACGCTTGAAAATAGTACTGAAAAGGACACATGAACACAATTATTAATTAGAAATTTTGTTTATTAGTAATTTAGATCAACTAGGAAAAACCAAAGGACGCATTTTAGTATGAGAAAATCAATTATAACAATTGTCACAAAAAAATAATAAAATCAATCATAACAATTGATCCCCTAATAGAAAAATCCGTTGTGTCTATTTGAATGCAAGTATGACATTATCCCCCCAATAACACACTCAGCAATATAAAAAATTCTGCATACCATACCTGGCTCAAAATGGACACCATCATGTAAAAGAAAACAATTTGCGGAATCTTTGTACTCTGTTTGAACAAATGTTTGAAGACTTCGCCTGCTCATGGCATGAACTCTTTTGACACAACGGTCTTCTTTCTCTTCTCATCCGAAACAAAAGGTCTTCAGTATCTAAAACGTAAGATACCTAACAACATTCAGCAGGTACCAAGTAGAAAATGTCAGTGTGGCAATTCAGAAAAACAATCCAACAAACGCCAAGCTCCAATCAAATGCAGGTATCAGCAAAATGTGCAAAATCAGAACTATTGTTAGGCTAGCAGAATAATGACATATATTTTACAAAATAAATTACATCAAATACCTTAGATGAACTGCAAGCTATCTTACATTCCAGACCATTAATAATTTTTAGTCCTTCCATAGCCTGGCTTGAAAATTCATCATTACTAGCATATCTCCGTATATTCCTGAAAATATGAATAAAATGAAAAAAATAAATTTATGAAAATATTACCTATAAATATTAGCAAGCAATGGCTCTAAGAATCTTCACACTAAACAAATACCTCTTCAAGAAAATTCCTGACTTCTCTTTGTCAGGGACAACAGAGAGGAAGTCACAGTGCAGATAGGTTGCAAAATTAGGGTCCACCGACACAGCAGTCACTTCAGGCTTATCATGTCCACAGTCCATCAATTGAATAGACAGTTTCATTGGTCCAGGTGACTGCAATGGAACAAACTAGGTTACGGATTTCATAACACTGTAAAACTTCATTTGGGAGCAGATCTAAGTAGACAGGAAATAAACTTATAAAAACTTACATATTCAATACGATAAATGTTCTCATCATGAAGAAGAACGCGGGCATTTTCATGATAAACTATATCCACAAATTTTCCAGGTTTTCTTGATTTTTCATATGCATATAGTTGTAGAAGTTTACTATCTATCTCATCACCAGCAACAGCTTGAAGCTGAAATAAAAGAGGACCTACTTTAAGATTGGAAAAGATATTATGGTATGCAAAAGATAGAAAGATGAACTTATGTATGTCACCTGTTTAACAAGTTTATATATCAGCTTATCTAATGTGAATAAGACATAGGACTGAGTTCCAATAATAGCTCGACAATCATCCTCAAATTTTGTATTATCAGAAGAACCGTCCAATAAATTGTAGAGGGAATTCATGAACCTGTAGCATAAAGGATTCCCCTCAGTCTTGCATAGATACTAACATGTATCTTCAAATTTGTAATATAACATAATATTTACGAGGCATATCACCTGTCATATTGATCAGTACAGCTTGTATCAGTTGCAGCCTTCCATTTCTTTTCAGCAGATGATGAGTTAATCTTTGCTGACTGTATCCTCTCGTACAATGTCTGCCAGATACAAAAGGAAATATAGCTGAATAGAAGTATAGCTGAATGTATGCATTGTGATTTTAGCAAAAATACAAGATGAAAATCATGCATTGAAACTTAAAATTAGAGAGAGAGGTGTATGTCCGTGTAAACAGATATTTTTCTACCTGATGAAGTCTAAGCAGAACATAAAAGGAATCATTTCCATAAAACACTTGAGAATTCCTGTCCTTCTCATGTAACATTGGGGGGATATACTTTGCTAGAGGTTTTACAGTTAGTAGAAAGCGTTCAGAATATGGCAATGATGTTCCATCTCCTTCAACATCATGGGCATCAGCCATTCCCTCGGCTTCACCTTCACTCTCAGCCTTGTTATCATGCTCCCCATCTTCCTGCTCTTCTCGAGAACACTCCTCACCATCAGCAGACTCACTTCCAGAAACATCAACATTTTCGGAAGCATTTTCACTGTCATCTGATGACCTGTGAGGGCTTTCCTCACCTTCATCATCAGCATCAGCATCATTTTCTCCTCTGGTTTCAAAACAAACTTCTTCCCCATGTCTATTTTGGTTTTGCCGACTCACACCACTATCCTTTCTGTTATGCACTGCATCCAAACCATTACCTCCATAAACTGCAAAGTTATCCTCTTCAAAGTCTCCATTTGGAGATAACTCACCCTCTTCTCTTTCACTTTTGAAGTGTCGAACTGATTCCTCTTGGAATCTGTGAACTTTGCTGCCTCCAGTGACAGCCCCATTTGTAGATGTAACCGGTCTACTAGAGTCACCACCCTAAGCCATGATAAAGAAACAAAAAATCAGTACATTATTTGCAATGATGACAGGTCAGACAAATATTCAGTACATTACTCACAATGATGCTGGAAAATTATTAATCATAAAAAGACAAAAGCACATAAAAATTAGTCAACAATTTTTTATTAATCGCTGAAATATTAGAAGAACAATGATAACCACAGATTTCACAAGTATGGCAATCACTTACAGTCCTAGAAACACAAAGACAGAAGAAATGGTGTTCCTCATACTCTGTTTTGAAAAGCTAACAAATTATGGCTTAGGATTTAAATCTTATTAATTACAGTATGACGATCAATTCACTGTGGAAAGATGATCAACCATCAGCCAGACACATGCTACAAGATGCATTATTCATGCTATCATACTTTCACAATAATCAGCTTGACTAAATTCAAGGAGAAAGAATATCACAAATTAGTGAAAATCTTGTTTGCAATATAATGGTTCAAAATTTCAAAGTCAATTAGCACTGATGTTTGTACAGGGAAGTGTGTCAATCATAGAATGGGTACAACAAGGGAAAACAAAACTTTCTCCATAAAAACCTACCATATACCCTTTCAATCCATAATATATTTCTCATTATACCACATCCAATCATATTATCTAGAACTAAAAATAGATATTTTGAATGAAAATACATTATATCAGAAAACAAGAAAGTGTCACATCATTGAAGTAGCTAAGGTATTCCAATTGCGGTAGAAAGTAATTAACTGTATTTTCAGTAGGAACATGGCATCAACTGGTTCACTGATTAGTGCAAACAAACTTCCAAGTTGCAGCAGACCAAACTTTATCCTTAAGATTCCAGAACTGAATTTTAAATCGAGACTGACATAAGCTGCACAAAGAGTTAACTCATACCTCTGATGAAGGTAAATCATGTCCTCCCTCAACAGAAACATTACCAGGTCTAGATGGAGTGGCAGTGAGTCCTTGAACAAAAAAAAAATGTATCTCAGTTCCATTCATTATCCAAAAGTAATATTTTTAGATAAAAGGAGAAATCAATGGTAGGGTAAGCATCAAACAGTATCATCATTCTTTAAATAAGTTGCTAACCTGATGCATTATCTATGTTTGTCCTTCCATTACTTTGCTCCATTCCAGATGCTGGTAAGACATTAGCATTCACTAACTGTTCGCTGGACTGATCTTGCTTATTGACTCCTGATAGTTCATCAGACGTGAATGCAATACTGTTAACTTTACCATGCGGTCCATTACTGCTCAAAGTTTCAGTTTTATGTCCTGTACAGTCATTGATGCACTTATCTTCTCCAACCCCACTATCACCATTTGACTGCCATGCTTTGCTAGAAGTTGGTTGATCTAATGGCATACACTCATCACCATTTCTGGAAATGTTTACATGCTTTGGATTCTTTATGGTAGCACCAACAACAGGACTACCATCACTTTCAGCAACACTTGCAGTGCCACTTTTGACAGAATTATTCTTAGCCTTGACAACATCTTCACTATCCTCAGCACCCTGGGGTCGAGAAGGAACACAAAGCATGGGTTCCAAAAATGTTGTCCAAACCTTCATAACTTTATCCAACTGTTCAGTTGTGCAAAGTTCTCCACAGGAATATTTTATGAGCTGATACAAATCTTCATGAATATCCGGATCAGAATACTTAAACTCCAAGTTTGGAAGAATAGGCCGTCTATTTCCAGCAGCAATAGCTAAAAGAACATCATCTTCTTTGTGTTTCTTCTCACTAATTTCTTTGATTTCTGCCAGTAAGGCTGTAAAAATTTTTGTAAAGGAAGAGAGTCAGGGAATGGAAAGAATTATTCTGGAATGATCATCAAACAAACATAAAATTGCACTGCAATTCAAGAATATCATACCACTGATTTTGTTTTGCATGGTCTCCATATTCTAGAGAAACCATGGTGTGATGTGATCAATATAAATAAGTAACTAAAATCAAGCCAAAAGCAAGATATTTCCAATCAAGGATAAGGGAAAACACAAGTGTAAAAGAAAGGAAAGACATTAACTGCAGAAAATTCATTGCATTAAAGAATAACTAAATGCACATACGGGTATATACATAAAATGATAATGATATTTCACGATCAAAATTTCTGCAGCCTTAAAAAGTACTGATTTATTCGGGAAAAAATAAGTTATCTCTTACCTTTTGTGCTCAAGCTTTTTGTATCCTGTTGCTTAAAGTAGAAGCTACGATGATCAAGAGATTTGTGATAGTTTTTGGCATATATTTCAGCCCAAACTTTACTAAAATCTGCACGGCACCTTGCCCACTCTTCATGTTTCTGCTTCAAACGTGTTAATATCACTGGCAAAGCTAGAGGAGCATTCCTCCTTAACACTTCCATCACATCAAGCCCATGGTCACCATATAATCGCTCAATACACCTAAGATTTATAGCTACATACAGAGAGAACCACATCAGAATATGGTAAACTTCAAGAAATTACCTCATACTACATAACTGCTTTCAGAAATTTCATTGATCAATTAAAATACTATATAACCTGTTAAGTGCTCCTCAATACGAATTGGGCTGTCTCCTTTAATTATATTACTGTTAATCTTTTCTAACAGCTCTTCCACTCGTTTGGTTGTCACATTTACAGACTCTAACAACATATCAAGTTCAAACCTACCAGAAAAGTTTAACATAATGTCAGAGAGTTTATGGAAATCATACCACTTATCAACCAGAACAATATGGCAACTATGACTTTGACAATTGACAATGATTAATAAAAGATAAATCAATAAAACAGGTATTTAAAGTGTTCTCAAATATCACTGTCAAGCTCTGACCTGTCATCTTCGCATCTAAACAAGCTCTCTTCATACTGATTTTTGCGCATATGTTTGAAGGAATAATCCTCACTTCCTGAAGTGACAGACACCCAGTGATCATTCAACACTTCTGCACCAAGTTCTGTTTTCTGGCTAGCTACAGGTATTGGGTACTGCACAAGCACACATAATACACATGAAGAACCCAATCAACAAGAGAATCTCAGATTCCATTAGAATTAGATAAAATACAAAGACAAAAGTAAAAAAAGTATACATTTTTTGGGAGGAGACGGTAACTAGGAGTGCATTGGTCACAGTTAGAAAGGTCCAACTCATTAATAGGTTTGGATAAATACTTTTCCTTGCTGGGATATAGAGACATCTTAGGACCTAATACATCCTTGTTGGCAAAAACAGTAGATTTGTCCCTTTCTCGGAATTCACGATCCCTTTCTTTTATTCCTTCATCCCTATAACGGTCTCTATCTCTATCTCGGTCCCGATCTCTATCCCTATCTTCAACCTTCATCGATTTCAGTCCATGTCCATCATTCCACAAGGACTCTGATGAACACCAAAAAGTCAGAAGTTTAGCATCAGAAATTTCACATGAACCAGGATCACATTACATAAAGAGAAAGGGGAGCATCCATCAGAAGATAACAGAATAGAGTAAAACATCTTACATACTTTTATTCATAACCCCAGCAAGGAATCCACCATCTGCATTATATGACTTGATTAGAAATAAATTAAAAGATTTAACTTCATAAAAAGTAATAAATTAGTTAAAATGTTACCATTCTTTTCAGATTGTAGCAAAAATTCATTAAACCCCTCCATAAGTTCTGGATATTTTCCCAGTAAATCACCCACCTGGAAGAATAAGCGATCACGGTTTAGCTATCATATTCATTGCGTGACTTGTTAAAAGAGTATACATTACTGGAAATATAAATTATACTGTGAAGAACAGTGAAAGCAGGTCAATTAGACAGTTTACAATACACCAGTACTTTCATGCAAATAAGCTCACAAGTTTATGCAACCATAATATAGCATAATATGTCTTCCTTCCATATTTTACCATCACAATTTCAGTTTAAGAAATCAAGGTCAGTGTTCATTACCAGCCAAACCAACATAGCAAGATGAATTAAAGTCACCCATCTTGACAGAATCCAACATTAAAATCAGTGAAGTATCTAATAAAAATTAACAAGCAAACCATACCAATGACTGCAATTCTTGGCGGGTAATTATTTCCCTGCTGTAAATGTGTAAACACTTTAAAAACTCCTGGTAGTTATCAGGGTTCCGTAATTTCTCTTTGACTTTTTCACAGAAAGCAAACTCTTGACTATACATGCCTGAAATGAAAAAAAAATAAAATAACAATAAACAACAAAGCATAAAAGGAAACGAGTTATAAGCACAGAAAAATTTGGAATAAAGTAAGTTCCTCCTTGTACACAAAAAACAAGGAAAATACTTGCATAGACTTAAATCATAAATATAAACTTCATAGGACATCATTTTTATTGATAATTCTATCACCAAAAGAAATCAGATTCTTTTTTATTTAAATATTTCAGCATTGCAAGTGGCAGAAAAGTGATGAGAGATTTTTTGCATTAGTTAATGAATTTTTACGGCAATTTTGTTTTTCATATTTTACTAACATGAAAGTATATTTTCAAGTATTAAAAGATTGTGCATCATAGGTTAGGTAGGATATGAGAGAATATACAAAAATAACTTCGTATATTCAACATCCTAAGAATTCATGACATACTCACTTTTTAGAGAATTTTTATCATCACAACTGGATGACATAGGACGCATACCAAAGTTTTCATCCGCATCAAACATTGGTTCAGGTCCAGAATCTTCAGCCTTACGATCAGTTTTCCGTTTGTGGGGGAATTGCTCCCTATCCCGACCTCCATCATGCTCATAATCTCTATCATTCCTTTCCCGATCTCTCTTGTCTCTATCTTCCCTACGTTCCTTTTCCTTCTCCACACGTCTCCTCTGCTCCCTTTCTGCCCTCAACAAACCCCTGTCATGATCTGGGTCAGGACGATCAACACTGGGGTCACGATCACTCTGCGAAACCATGGTCCTTTCTCGCTGGCATGCAGATGAGTATAATATTAGATTGATGACTGACTATAAAGGGGCAATGCAAATGTAGCCAAGATGATAGGTGGGGCCTTCAAAGTCACACTATAGGGTTTTCAATGCTTTGGGGCAAAAGTCAGCAAAGACAACTGACAACTAAACATAACATTTTTGATAAAAAGTAAAAGACAAAGATGTTCAATTTAAAAACCCTAGTCAGGGTCCTAACCAACAATTGGTTAAATTTTTAACATCATAATTATTTTACCCAATTTAATGTCCAAATTAGCAAAATTTGATAGGACTGGCATTTTTAGGTGTGCCTTGTTGGAACTATAAATGCACTAGTGGCAAGCATCTCACTAAAGGGGCACAGTGATTGAACCCCTTCTTGCACCTCACATCAACTTCCAAGCTATATGCCTTTGAATTCAAACATTGACATAAGAACTTGAGATAAACCTTTTCAACATGCATTTGCCGTGCTGTTGGCATTGCAGAGCTCCTATCACGAAGCATGTGATTTCGACCAGAACCATAATGAGTAGAGGCGGTTGCAGAAGTGTCCGGAAGAAAATGAGTAAACTCATCAAGAAGATCAGGGTGGTCCCGGAAAATTGCAGAAACCTGAAGAAATCCAATTTATGAATAAAATGAGCAAAAAGAGTAATATTAAATCTGCTAGAAGAAAGATGGAAAAGAAAAGAAAAAGGGCAATATAACAAATTTGACTGACTATAACATGATAATATAGGCACAAACCTCCTGGTAGACCTCAGTGATAGACTTGTTCTCCTTTCTGTACATATTCAATATGTCAAGAAACGACTTGTAAACATGATCATCACCTTGGAATCGAGTCTGCATGAGAAGGATCCATCAGACTCTAAAGCAAAACTGTCCCTTGTTTGCAAACAATTTTGCACACAAAGAACTCATCAGATTCAACAACACTCTTACCTTTATCTTGTTCACAAAATTTATAGCTTCTTCAAACTCCACAGGCTTCTTTGGGAGAGGTTGTTCATCCTCCAATGGAAGTGTGATTTCATATCCCTTAGGCAAGAAGGTGTTAAATCCCAATATAAGATCTCTATGCCCTTTAAACAGTTCCTTCACTCTTGCAATCACACCTGCAGTATCAATTCTACAATGCACCAAAAGGGGACACAATTTAAACTAACAAAAATACCCTTCGCAATATAAATAAATATGTAAATAAACCAATAATTGGGTGGAAGGCAGAGTGGAGGAAGAATGTGGCACAACAAGATCAAACCTTTGAGCCTTGAAATCTTTCATGACCTCCAAAAAGTCATCATACTTGTCCCTCTTATCTTGAAATATATCCTTTACTGCCTTGAGATACGCTAGGGCATCATTAGTAGTCAGTTTCTGAGCACCTCCATTCGTCATCTGGGGTTGCCCGGACCTACATTCCAAAAATTTTCATAAAATAATTAGAAATGTTGGAGAAATTGATGACGACGACTCAATGCACAAGTAAAAGTTAAAAATCAATTCATGATGATAACGATTCAAACACTATGGCAGGTAAGAAACATCTGATCCCGTCTCACTAAGTCAAACATTCCAAAAAACATAAAAATAAAAACAAAGTTAAAATACACATTGGATTCTTATTGTTAAAACTCATTTACAAATTAATCTCCGTACCAAAAAATTTACACGCGTTAGTTTCTATACAAGTCACACTTTAGTCCATACCGTTTTAACACTGTTAGAAAAAGTTTCAAGTTCATTAAGTTACTATAAGTTTCAAGTTCATTAAGTTACTATAATTAAGTCACATAATCATTTTTTAAATGGTGTTAAAACGTTAGGGACTAAAGTGTAAGAAAGCATTCGTTTAGGGAGTAAAGGGTTTGTTTATTGGGTATCAACTAGATGAAACAAATGTGTAATTTAACCTAAAAAAAATGATGCTTCATGCTTTACTAAAGCCTATACAAAAAAACAACTATCGATTTAACACAAGGACACAAAACACAATTTTGCTGCAGCTTTAAAAAATCAAAAACTAGAACTCTCGATTGAAGATGCAAAAGTTTGATCAAGCACAAAAAAAATGAGCAGAGCCTAATAAACGGGAAATTAAAGAGAACAAAGCACAGAAACTTACGCTTCTCCTCGGGAAGACAACATAGGGCGTTTGAGTTGGGAAGAACTCGTGAAAACATCATCTCTAGACCTCTTCATCTCTAAAAACACCAAGCGCAGAAACAACACTATCTACCACCTCCCTCTTAAACAGCAAATCACGCTTCTGAACTCCGAAACAATTCAAAATCCTCCAACCTCAAGCTACTTGTTCGAACAAGACCAACCACCACACTTCAGATCTAACCGCAAGGAATCAACGCTAAGCAAGAATCCTAACCCGAGTCTTCATGAAGAGATCATCACGGAGGAGCCAAATCCTGCAAGAAAAAGAGAATCGCAACCGAAATTCGCATTACTTCAATGTAAAGCAACGTGAGGATGAAATAGAACCAAGGAAGCCAAATTTTTCAGTTTGAATTTCAAAGAGAAGTGTTTTTTTTTCTCTCTCTCTCTCTTTGATTTTCTGGGCAAAGGAACAGAACAGATAGAAAGAAGGAGACGATGAAGAAAATAAGAGACTGAGGGAGTTTTACATTGTGATATAGAGAACGAGAAAAAGAGGGGTGGCGTGGCGGTAGTAAAATTTGACCTTCGTTTCTCGGTTACCGTAGTGTTAATTTACCGCTTATAAGCGGTTAATCCCTAAACTCAATTTGTAAAATCAAATTAGGGCTGAACGAGATTCTATTGCGAGGGTATATTACTATTTATCAAGACAAATTTGGAGATCATGCAGTGACCTTTTGGGTATTTGGGTTTATTGCTTTTGTTTGGCACCTTCACCTTTGTTTAAGACCTTTTAAGGAAATTAAGGTCTGGTTTTCTTATCTCTTTTTTTGTTTGGTATGAGTTTGTGAGTAGTTGCTGGTGAATAGAATGCATTGCAAGACTCGTTCTAAGTAATGGATGATAATGATGAAATTAGGTCCAACAGATAGTGAGAGAATGATTTAAACTTTTAAATGAGAAACCTTACTATCTTTATGGTAAAAAAATAAAAAATAGTTTATTTTTGTGGATTAGATATTAGATATTTTGATTTTACAAATTAGGTAAAATTCTAGCCCTAAAATAGTTTAATGGTTTTGGTTAATAGGTTAAATAATTTAGAAATTGTGATTTGGGTGTTGAAGGCGTTACACTAATTACAAAAAATGTAATCTCTTTGTTATGAAAGAATGAGATGTGTCATTTGCTCCTTGTGGATCATGCTCGAGTTATTTAACCATAAATAAATTTTGTTAAAATAAATTGAAAGCAAATTATTCAAACAAGTTATATAAAAAATATTAAAAAATTATTAAAAATCGTAAGCAATTCTTATTAACTATTCATAAATCCTTTTAAACTGACACATTGTATTAAAAATGGCTTATTTATTATGTAAGCAGTATTATTAACAATACACACACATTCAATACAATCGAAATTAGGCATAATGGATGTGGATAGACTTGAAAACAATTAAAAATCCCTTCACAGGGTAAAGCGGAATAAATAAATAAATTATTCAGTTAATTTGGGCCTATTTACTGAAGTTGATTAGTTTTTGTAAAGTAAATAAATAAATAAATTTAATTTATACTTATGAAAATAACGTTCAAATTTTACATTTTATCATAAAAGTTTAAGTCGACTTAAATGAACAAACATATTTTGTCGGCTTCAAAAGACATTGAATTAACATTTGTTTTTTCATTATTCACACTAAAATTTAACAAAACACTTAAAATAAGTTTTTTTTTAATCTTTTTAAATAATAAGCATTCTTTAAAGAGAACCCTTCACTACTTAATCTAAAGGGTTGATAAATTTACGTAATACTCTATTGTTTTCACGTATATGTAATTGATTTGTTTAGAGAAACAAAAATTGTATTTGAATTTTACTATGTGCAAAATTTCCTATGCAAACAAAAATTTATCTTTAACCTTTTAAAAATAGGGAAACTTTATGACATTTGACGTTGAAAAAATAACTTTATGTACCTCCTTACATTATGTTTTAAATTGTTTATTTATTTTTTAAATATTAGTTAGAGCTTGTTTGATTTATTCTTAATTTTTAGTTTTTATAGACTACATTTTAAAACTTTTTAAAAATAAAATAAAATAAATTTGTTTAATAATTTAGCTTTCAAAACTGTTTTTAATTGAATTTTCATTAGTTTTATAAAGAGAAGTAGAAAAATAAAAACAAAAACACCCTAAAATTAATTATTTTTTAGTCTTAAAAACTGAAAATAAAAAATATTTTTAAAAATATTTTTTAAAACTTACATTAACAAAAAAAAATTATGTTTTTTATTTTTAAAAACAGAAAAGTATATTTAAAAAGAGAAAACAAACAAACTCTTAATTATTATTTTATATATATTTTTTCACAAATCAAGTGAAATTTGAACATATTAATAGAGTGAAAGAATACAATAAAATGATTTTTTTTAAAGAATTCTATCAATGAATTCCATAAAAATAATAAATTACGGAACAAGTAATATACTTTATTAAATGCTATAGCAATTTTATACATTTGACCACATCTTTCTATTATTTAATGTAAAAATTAAACAATAAGTTAAATACATTTAATATCTTAAATATACAAAATTTTATGATTTCCTTATTTATTATGAAGAAAGATCAGTAAGAATACCAAGTTTTAGAATTATTTCAAATGCTGTCAATTATTTGAAGGAATAATTTTTTATATTTTAATATATTTTTCATGTAATGAATATTTTTTTAAACAAAACCCCATATCAACATTCAGCGTGTCTAATAACTTTATTAAGTTAGAATTAAATGAAATTAAATATAAATGCATTTAATGTCTTTAAAATATAAAATGTATCTATTTTTTTAGTACATAGAAACACTTGTAAGAGAATTTTATAATCAATTTTTATACACAAGTTATTAAATTTAAGCGTTGAATGAATTTATTTGTATATTCATTTAATTAATCTATTAAATGAAAGTAAAATCTGTACAAAGTAACTGTATTGAAAAATAACCATGAAATATTTTATTATCCATAATATTTTCAGTAAAATAAAATAAAATAATATAAAATTTAATAATTTTAAAACTTGAAGAAATTATTTTATATTATTAAATAACGTAAAAAAATTCTCGTGATAAAATTTATATACAAAATAAATTTAATAAATAATAAATTAAATATAAAAAATTATACAATATGGAAAAATAATTTGCAATTAATTTTACATAAATAAATATATCCATATATATATATATATATATATATATACAATTAAGAATAATTAGTTTTTTTACTTTTTATATGAATTAATTTTAGTTTATACATATAACAACAAAGTATGTATTTTTATCATCTTGTTTTAATTATTTTTCCTTTTTTCAGTCAAAGTTTTATAAAATTTAATAACTATTATGCATGACGCTAGCAAGTCCAGCTCTAATCCAGCAAGCATGCGAAGGGGGGAGTAGATTCAAGCGATCGGGTTCGAAAGTAAAACCTTTTGCTAAATATATAATTGGCACACGTGTGAACGTAACAAAACTCTTAAGGTTAAATACATAAAAATATTAAAGTAGTTTGTACTTAATAATATTTATTATGGATTAAATATAATTACCTATCATTAGTAAATTTAACTCTCTCAATGTTTTTTCTTTCAATATAATAAATTCTGAAAATTATTTAAGATAAATTAAACATACATTACCTTAACTCATAACCCATTAATAAATAAAATATTTTTAGAAAAAAACTACATATAGTGCATCCCCATTAGATATTTATAGAAAAGCATATTTAATAAGGATAAAAAAAACTCTCAATTTTCATTTGTAATTTATTTCACCTTTAAGTGGTTTATTAGAATAATGATTTCACTGAATCTTATTATATAACACAAAACCTTTCAACTAATTACAACTCATATTTCTTTTTTGTTTATTTCGAAGAAAACGCGTGATCACGTTATTCATACTTTAGTGTCAAATTACGAATATGATTTTGAGTTTTGTTTTATATTACAAAAATAACCTCAATTAAAGAAAAATAGAATAGATTAAATTTTGTAATCTTTGTTTAAACAATGATTTGTTATAATTAAAATTATTTTGATAAAATAATTTAATCAGAAAATACTATCAATCAATATAAAATATATTGTTATATTATATTATTAATTTATTTAAATTTATAAATACATTAATATATAATGATTAAATAGTATTTTTATCATATTTTATTTAGAATTTATATTTAAATATTTTATAGTTCTTTATTAACTTTTTATAAAATAATAATATGTTATGTTTTTATTATATTTTAATAATTATTAAATAATGTTTTAAGATAAAACTAAAAAAAACAATTAAAATAAAGTATACTAAAGTTATACATAAATTAAAATATAAAAATTCAAACTACAATTAATTCTAAAATTAATTTAATTTACTACGACATCCTTATTTTGGGCTATACAAAAGCGCAAAAGCAAAAAGAAATCAAATTCAGAGTCGAAGCGTTGCACGCCGGAATTCGGGGAACGCCCTTCCCTACCCACCGTGGCCACCGCCGCAGCTTATGCAAAAAGTCTTTCCGCCGCTGGTCGAAGCGGGAACCACCACCGACGAACCTCTCAGAAAAGCTTGTTTCGCCAGTCGCTGCAAAAAACATCAACCACACAAGTTCAAATCTGTGGAAGATTCTCCAAACAAATTCGAAATGGAAAAAACAATTAAAATAAAAAAGGAAGAGAAAAACTGAACCTGAAACCTGTCTATGCAAACCATTGAATACTAACCATTGATTTCATCAAGATTTTAGAAACTGTAAAAGTCAAAAGCAAGATAAACAATAAGCCGTTGGATGAATCGAATGTTCAGAAATTAAAATCCTAAATTCGACTCTTTATCATTCCTAAATGCGTTATATTTTTATATATAAATATTAACTTATATCTTATTGAATGTATTTATATATTTAAAAAAAAATAAAAAGATCTAAACTTATAATTTGTAATTCAGATTACATTTTAATTTATAACGAGGTTTAATAATTTAAAACATAAATTTATGATCAATTTAAAATTTTGATAGTATTTTTAAATAACCAAAACTGAACTGTAAATTATTTTCATAAATAACTTAGATATGTCGTTTTTACTCCAAAGTTAATATAATAAACTGAAGTACAAAGATCCTTAAATGGAACGAGGAAAGGCAAAGATTCTTAAATGGAAGTAAGAGAGGCAAAGGAGAGAGAATGTGAAAATGGTGGATGTGGGGGCAAGAAATGTGAAGGGTAAAGTGGGTGGGAATGTTGAGCATTCGTGGTGATGGCCATGTCCACAGAGGACAAGTTTCACTTTGGTTGTGATTTTTCTCTTCACACTGTTTCTAAATCTGAATAAACTAATAAATTACATATAATGTTAAGTAAGGATAATTTTAAAACAATTAGAAAAAGTATAGAGTGAGATAAATAGTTAAAAAGACAGTGCAAAAACAAACTTTCCTTAGTAGTAGGCGTGACTTTTATTTTACATTAGCATTAAAGGTATGATTGAAAATACAATTTAATTAATTGTTTATTGAATAATTTTTTATCATACCGGAATTTATAAAATAAATCTGATTATTATTTTTTAAAATAAATTTTAAAAATTGATATCTATTTACAAGATAAATAAATTATTTATGTCTTCAAAACATTTTATTAACATCATTGTTAAGTAAATTTTTAGAAGATTAAGT